CTTTCTACTACATGAAGTTTCTTCTTCTGCCTTTTTCAAGTTTCAACTTTATTTTTAATCTTTTTTCGAGTCAGTAAGATTTCCATGACCCCATTTGATCATTGTGCGCTCATGGAGCAATGGCATTTGTGCGAAAAGGCTCAAACTCAGGCACCAAACAGCTTTAAGGTAAGCCATCAACAACTTTCATTCAGCTTCTTTTATTTTGTTCTTGGTAAAATGAAATGGTTTCGGAATCTACAACGAAAAAGAGTATAGAAAAGTGGTCTGTTGCTTTCATTTGTGAAGAAACTCGGTTGTTCCAGTTTGTGAAATGTTCCAAGTATTTTTTGCAGTAGAGTTGTTTATGCATGGGGTAGCTTTTGCTTGTTTGGCTTCCTATACATAGTTTATTATGGATTTTTGGATGTCCTTGTTCTCAAATTTTGTAGCAAATGCGCACTCTGTTTCCTCTGTTTCTGTGTTGGTTTTTTATTTTTGGGAAACGAGCAAGCAAACTGTCAGGGCACATTCCCTCGTTGTTCTTGTTTGTTGGTAGTTTTAGACTTGAGGATTCTTATGGGATTATCTTATTTTCCTTAATTTGCATTAGCATTTGCAAGGCATCTTAGAGGTAGGGAGAAAATTACAGGGTTTGGTTTGTCTCTGTCTTACCAGGTAAATATAAAATCCAAATGAAGAAATTCTTGAAAGAAAATCATGTGATGATCATATTTCAAAGTAGCGATATTTAAAGGAAAATTATATTTCACCTCATTATATAATTAATCATATTTCAAAGTTTAACAATAGCAATATATAAGTAGCATGAAAGAGTGAGTTCAGTTCGTTCAACCCCATTGGAGGACGCATTTGAAATGTAAGTACCATGCCCTGACCCACAATAAGACAACTTCCCAAAGCTGGTTTGAACCCCACCCCACCCCACCTCACATTGCCCTCCAATTTTTATTGTTTCGTCTTTCACATGATGCCATTTGACTTTTAATACATTGGATTGAACCCAACAAAACCAAAAGGAAAAAGAAGAAGAAAAAAAAAATACACCAACTTTTGTATATACTAACTGCTGTTTAATTTTAATAATGATAGAAACTTTATTAGCCTTTAGCTAAAATTACAGCCGCTTGTGACTTGTGTCATGAAACCGCGTTTTTATTTTGTGATCAATTAAGAAAGAGAGCACAATAAAACAATTTTTTTATATTGCTTTCCCACGTACTGGCTATTCATAGGAACTGAAAAGCTCCAACTAAGATTGGTAGGTCATACTTGATCCCCCCAAAAAAAAGTATTAGTAGGTCATATGCTTTTATCTGTGTTTCGTGGACATAGACGTCATTGAGAAATGAAAATGAAATCTCTTTCTAGGTCCCCTTATGCATTGTATTTCGAGCTTTTATTTTTATTTTTAATAGAAATCCCTAAATATAAGGGGATATAGGATGTGTTTATATTATATCAGTGTCATGGAAAGAAAGACAAACTAAGAGAATATAAGCTTAAATAGTAATAATATATAGGGAGAAGGAGAAGAAGAAAAGGAAAAAAACAAGCAGGTAGAGGGTCAACGAAGTTGCACTACAACCTACTGAATGGTCAACCATCTACCAATCGCCTGGTGGAGTGAGATGACTGGTTGTTTGAGTGGATGGTCAGATATGGGCCTTTGGATTTTGGTCAAACCATAGCATTACAACAAACAAATAGCTTCTCATAGTTTGACCAACAAAAAATTAAAAAAAAAAAGCTTCACATAGCTCTACAAGTTACAACAACAATACTTTAATAAGGAGCCAAGCATGCCACTAATTATTGTCCTCTATTTTGTTTAAATCTTAATAGGTTTTATTTTAATAAATAAATAAATAATTGGTATATGAATTATTTTCTATATTTGTAAGGTGCAAATAATTTTCGTTTTGTTTTTTTTTTCTTCCCATTAGTAGTCAAAATCCACAAAGTAGGTAGGAGGGAGCTTTGCATTCCCCACCAAGCACCAACTTTCGGGTGAGTGTTAAATAATTTTGTGGTCCAAGAAAAGAAAAGACAACGACCAACAATTTATTTTGGGCTAAACTAATTATCTTGGCAAATGTTTATGGCCCAACTAGATTGGTGTTCCAGACCAGCCCAGGCTGTCTACCTTGTTTTATTTATCTGGGTTTGAGTTTTGTTTTTTTGGGTCAACATCTGATTGATTCAAATCCAATTTCTTTCTTCAAAATTGACATAGTTAGAGCATGTTTTAAGAGCATAATAGCTGGTTTTGCGAGGCATCTTATAACATGAATCAATTCAATTGTGCTGAGAATGCAAATAATAATATACTGCTTCTTTGATTTTCATCGTCCGAATATGCATGTTTATGCAGGAGGCTCTTGATGGAGCACTGGCGATCGTCACGTCAGCAGACATATATTGTGTTTGGAGATTGAAGAATTACCAAACTGATCATACGTACCAGACTGAAAGTTAATTATACTGCAGATTAATTCTTGCTCTGTCGTGCTGATCATAGTAAGTTTTCTTCATTTCATCCATAATTAATATGGATGTTACTGCTTCAAACTATGCATATACGTACGTACGTTAAATGAATGGCTTCTAGCTTTACTGATATATACATATATCATATGTGTGTATCTTGATTGAATGCATATTTACTGAGATGAAAAAAAACTCTTGCTCTTCGTCATCATATGTTCTTACTATAGTTGAGCCTAAGAACAATGTGCATGGAGAATGGTAGATACATAAAACAACCCAAGAATTAATGCTGTTCTACAAACATATATGTTCAAACATTACGAATATTTTACAAAGTATTAACAGTTAAACCTCTCTCTCTCTCTCTCTCTCTCTCAAGCGTTCCCTCACTCACTACTTATAATGGCTCAAATTTAAGCTAACTGTCATTATACACTAAGGTCATGTTTAGTGCATAGGATTAGATTGAATAATTCCAATTATATATACTCGACTTTAAGGTATGAAGGTCAACTTTCACATTTTGTTCAAAATAAAATGAATTAGTCATGAAAGAAACTTATTCATTTCCAATCCTCCAAAATGGTAGGATGTCAACACCTTATAACTTATCCCTCGTAATCCTCACAAAATGAAAAATCCTTAAATTTCTTACTCTTCGATAATCTTGTAAATAATCCAATTCAATCTAATCCTATAGGCACCAAACGTAAAATGATTGTTTTTGGAAGGATAGAAGATGGTGTGTTTTAGGTATATATATGACCAATTTTCAGCTAGTAATCGTCAGGTTAGTTTGAACCAAACTAAAAAATTATCTGGTATATGTTACCAAGTCCAGAGTGTTGATCTTGATTATGCTTCTCACTCTTCCAAAGCTCCACCCAAATGCCATTTTCCTTTCCCTCTTCAGTTCTATCGATTAATTTCACAATGTCCAGTTATTGTGTTTCTCATGCATGGGGAGCTCTCAAAGTATATGCCAATGCTAGTTCCAAAAATACGCTGACCTTCAGATTAACCTATATACCTATGTTCAACTGCACTTCTTTGAATGTACACTGTGCTAATATAGCCTTTATAGTTATACTATACTAGCTAAATGTACAATAGAGTCTAAGTTAATTTGTGATTTTATTCAAGCAAACCTACCGATGACATGGTAATCGCAAACTAATTAAGACATCTATGTATAGCCTAACATTGATTTACATAAATACATGCATCAGTTTTCTTTGAGTACAAGAATAAATGTATACATATGTATATGACCTTATTTTCCAAACCCAAGATTAGAGACTAACACCAATCTACATCTGATATATTAATACTACATGTCAAAGCATGTTATCTAAATATATGCACATTACAAATCAAAAATAGATACAAAATGCATATATATATACTGACCAGATTAGACGAATTAATAAGAAGCTACGACGGATAAATATTTGACAAGATATTTTAGCTTCAAGCCTTTAATGGAATTAATCTCTTCTACGTTCTGATGAGGTACGTTTGAGTACCTATATATGTTCAGATAAAAGGATCATTCACCTTCCATCAATAGAAAGAAAGCAATAATACATATGTATATATGCTCATGAAAGTTTGCCAAAATGTTCCATGCATGCATCCGACATTCAAATAAGAATTTGTCAATCTTTTATTCTCTTTCGTTTGTTTATTTCGACATTAGTTTACATATGTAAGTAAGCTTTGAAAGATCAAATATGGCCTTTGAGCTGCATCAGTGCCTCTATACCCCAGTTTTTCTTGCAGTGACATCAATAGTTCTGTTTGTAAGCTTGATATGATTAATGTAGGCTTATTCTTTAACAATACAAACATTTCATGATATATTGATTGTCCAACATGGTATCAAAATCCTACGTGTAAGAGGTCTTGAGTTCGAAACCTCCACATTCATATATTCCTCATTAATTTCTTTGTTGGTTTGCAACTCTTCTCTCTCTTGTATGGCTCATATCTTAAACTTTTGGTGCTGATGATTTTCTAACACCGTAGAGTTTTATATCTGAGCCTGAGGAAGTGAATAAAACTATTTTGTGTTCTGGCTAAGTATATCTGATGATTCAGTTTGTGATTGTGATAGTTTATAATTTGAATGATCTTCATGCATGCAACATCTCTGTGTTGAAACTTATTTGGCTTCAAGCTAGCATGTGTAATCCATTTACTCATTGTATACATATGTATACACCTCGATGAGCACTTAATCTGTTGAGAAGATCCAGTTTGGTAGACGTAGTCTTTTATATTTTTGAATAGCAAACATTATGAGCCTAACTAGATTTCAGCATGAAAACAAGATTCACTTGGGATATATATAAACTAGTAATCTTAGTTATAGCCCTTTTTATTAATCCATCTACACTGAGAATAAGATGAGTATATAGTATACTTCGTATATATATGGTCGGGTCATTAGAGTTTACAAACAAAATTATAGAAATGTGAGTGAATTACAAAACATGAAAACAAATTAATTCACACAAAAGTAGTACTTATATATATTTATATTATTAATCAACATCGATCTAATGCTTGTTTACAATACATATAGAACAATACAAACATGAACGTACATTGATGAAGGCCACAAATAAAGCCAAAATCATCATCAAGAGAGGATGAAGTACATACTAGTCGAATAAATAGATAACACACAAAATCATACAAATATCATATCATATATATGATATTGATCCAACCCTAGAACTAATTTCCATAAATAAACTAATTAAGCAACTGTTGTGTTTGTTTCAATCTGCGCAATGCATGCGATGGATCGAACAGGGGCGGGCTAGCTGGCTACTACTCCGTTTGATCATTGAGTACCCTGTGGTGATCGTTTTGGATAAAAGCAGAAGACATGAGCACAGCAGATTCCCAGCCAAAAGTGGATGGCGCAGTTGCACCAGCACCACTAGAAATCAGAGGAACATGATGATCCGAACCATCAACAGCAGCTGCATTATGTGCATTATTCCCGTTCTGAAGTAGTACTTGTTGTTGCAAATGGTGTTGTCCAGCAAATGGATCCTCGTTGATTAATGAATTCAGGAACGAAGAGAAGACATCGTCGGCGCAACAATTCATATCATCGTCCTCTTCATTCCCCCCAAGTAGTGCTCCTCCATGATTGCTGCCGTTGCTTCTCAAGCTCAAAGTTCCCATTGCCGCTGCAGAAGCGTGATCAGATGTCGTCATGTTTGCATAGCCATGGACCATGGTGCCCAGCTCCTGATCATCAACAAGGTACCCATTTTCCTTGTTGGCAATATTTGTGACGATATTCCCATTATTGCCATTAGTATTGGGAGCTGCCCCCTGATGATGAGCCAGAGGCTCAGAAGGCTCAGAAGTAGGAGGAGGACTAGGGTTAGTGTTTGAGCTGAAGCGATTGGTTTTGGAAGAAGAAACTGTTGCTGCTTTGTTAATGTTGTTGTCCATGTCGGCAGCAGCAACAGTAGCCGAGGAATGAATATCTGGATTTAGAGGCTTGTGGGTTCTGGGATCTATGCCTTGGCTGATCAGCTTCTTGCTCAGGTGCGTGTTCCAGTAGTTCTTTATCTCATTGTCCGTACGCCCTGGGATCCTCCCAGCTATCAAAGACCACCTACACATACATATAATTCATTAATTCAAACACTCGATCTTAACAGTGAAACCCTAACCCTAGAAATCAATAAGTAATTATACATATGTGTGTAGAATGGATGATGATGATGGGCATATATATATATATATATATATGTATATATATGTATACCGGTTGCCCAGGAGGCGATGGAGGCGAAGGATGAGATCTTCTTCGTCGGGGGCGATCTGGCCGCGCTTGACAGAAGGGCGGAGGTAGTTCATCCAGCGGAGGCGGCAGCTCTTGCCGCAGCGGAGCAGCCCCGCCCTCTTGGGTAGGGTCCGCCATCGGCCCTCACCTTCTTTATTGATGTAATTGGACAAGAGCTCGTCCTCTTCGGGCGTCCACGGCCCTCTCTTCAAACCCACCTTGATACAACACGGTGTCTTGCTCCCACCACTGGTCCCCGCCGCCTTGCTCGACGACGACGATGTTATTTTCGTTGGTATTGAAGCTGCTGTCGCTGCAGCTGCTGCTGCTGCTGCCGCCGCTTTTGACGACGATGACGATGACGATGACGATGGGTTTCTCATTATTGAAGCAAAGCTGCCTCGACTTCTTCTGAGTGAGTAGGGTAAGGCTATAGCACTCAAATGCCGTCGGCAAGTGATATCTTGGAAATCTCTGGGGATGGAAGAAGATGGTAATTGGGTAGCTAGCAATAGTTGTTCTGATCTTCTTTCTCTGCCCTTCTTCTTGTGTAGATTTAATTTTTGTATTTTTTTTTAAAAAAAGTTTGTTGGCATTGAGAGAGGAGGATGGGTGTGGGATGCGAGTCCAGACAGATTTCAGGGGTATGGTGTAATATGCTGATCACGAACTGATAACTCCTCACGCGCCTTTCAACTGCCTGGACATCACGACCAATAGTTCACTCTTCTCTGCTTTATTTTAGTGCCCCAAGAGCATCTCCAAGAGAAATGTCAAATATCAAACATCAAATTTAAATTGGATGGCTGATATGGCAATTCGACATTTACACAGTTTTTTACTCCATCCTATATGTCAAATAAATAATTATTATAACAGTCAAATCATTTAAGATTAAAAAAAAAATAATAATAATAATAAATGAAAGTTACAACCAGCTGTCTTTAAAAAAATAATAAAATATTTATTTGACATCTTGCTTTTGGAATGTCAAAAATAACAGCTGAACCTCTAGCTTTCATTCCACATCAGCTTTAACAATTTTGTTGGAGTGATGTGAGATGTTATTTCTAACCGTTAAATGTCTATGTGGCACTTTTGACATATCGGTTGGAGATGCTCTAATGATTTTACTTTCATACCAGTGGAATTCCTGCTTTAGTGAGCAAGTGTATATACATGGGTTTAATATGAACTCTACAAATCCTATTTTCTTCTTTAGTTTTGTGTTGATTTTATTTTTATTTTTGAAATTATCAATAAGGTTGTTTTTACTCTATTTTTTAAGGTAAATAAGTCTGCCATAAAATGAATCCAACGTATTTCATAAACTTTTTTATGAGTATATATTTTTTATTTTTAAAAGATTTATTTTATAACAAAGGAACTTGTAGCTAAAGTGGTTAAGATTATTTATTTTAGGGGTGATTGCGGTTCGGTAACCTCCAATATTTTCCCGAACCGCAAACCGACCGACTATTTGTGGTAAAATGATTTTTGAAACCGCAATGGTTGGTTACCATGAATTAACGGTTTAAACCGATTTGAATATTTTGGGACTAAATTAGACAATTTTAGATCTTTAAGTGTGATATTTTTGTGTCATAAAAATTCAATCTTCCACACTTTTAAGCCTAGGTTTGATGCTTCTTTTGAAACTTTTTGAGTTCAAGCGTACTTTAACCAAAAAATATAAATTAACAACCTAAAGAAATAAATTCACAACCTCAACTTCTCAAGCCTATATAAATTTACACCTAAAGAAATAAATTCACAACCTTAAATTTTCAAGCATATATAAATTCACAACTTCAACTCCTCAAGCATATATAAATTTACAACCTAAAAAAATAAATTTACAACTTCAACTTCTCATGCATGTATAAATTTACAACCTAAAGAAATAAATTTACAACCTCAACTTCTCATGCATATATAAATTTACAACCTAAAGAAATAAATTCACAACCTCAACTTCTCAAACATATATAAATTCACAACCTCAACCTCAACTTTTCAAGCATTCACAACCTAAAAAAAACTCAATTTAAAGTTAATTAAAATTACAAACCAAAAGGAGAACTCAAGTGTAGGTGGTGGTGAGTGAATTTTATTATAAGAAGAAACCCTTCTTTATGAGTTGGAGTGGATGTTGTGTTCCAAGTGTATCAGTTTGTGTTTGGGGGATTAGAGGCATTAGATGTGTTAGAGTGGCTAGACTCCATCTATAACACAACACAACACAAAAGCAACAACATAAAAACATATTAATAATAGATTAAACTCAACCAAATTAAAACACAACATCTAACTACTAAAATGCAATTTTTTGAAAAATATATTTGCGGTTTGCGATAACCACGAGTTGCCAAAATCACATACCACAACCGCAATTGCTATTCTGTTTCTAAAACCACAATTTTCAGTCTGTTTTTAGTTATTGCAGTTCCAATGCGGTATAATGTCGGTTGATTTTTGCAGTTTTTCGATCTAAAATGTCACCCCTAATTTATTTATACATTCAAGATCCTACAAATAAATTAAACTCTCCTCTCACAATATTTCTTGTATATAAAGAAGAATCTTAGAATTCTATTTTTTAAGTTCAATTTTCCAGAAAATAGCTGTGGATATGGTAAAAGTTACTATGAAAAGAAAGCCGCCTTTGAGTTGAGTGTTTGTAGGGGAGAGTTTGAGTCCACCTTCCTTGAATGCGTGTGGAGGTCTTTGGTCATAAAGTGAAGCCGCAAGAGACAGCGAGGATGGCTGAAGATTGGGCCCACAGAGCACTCAGCCACTATTTTTCTCTCTTTTTTGGGCAGTCAGTCACCATTTCTCTCTTTTTTTAAATGTTTTTATCGGACATAAAATCAATAACAAATTAGAATGAGGCACTCTCCAGCCTCCGCTTTAAAGCGAATTGGATTTTTGCTGTTTTAACGATAAACCAGGAGATGCGAACCTCCAGTCATGGAGACAATTGAGTCCAGTCAATGCAAAACAAAACTTTTGAGATATGATGAGTCTCTCTCTCTCTCTCTCTCTCTCTCTCTCTACCTTCTTCATTCACGAAATGAAACTTGAAGCAGAAAGATAGACTGGTCCTAAAAATCAAATCATATATATACTCATTTACAAATTCATGTTACAATTGTAGTCTCTAATCTCATATGCTTGTATTTTTGCTCTGAGTTGAAGCGTCTCGTACTCTCTGCCCAGCCTTTAGATAACAGCACCTTCAATATATCAACTCCCTCTTGTAAAGCAGCATCAATCTAACATCATAAAGCCCAAAGCATCATTCAAAACTTCAAAACACCAAATGAATATCCAATTCCATCAAATGCAGGACTCAATATACAAAACAACCATATACTTACTCGTCCTTGAGCCATTGCATTAAATTTCTGGAGCAAGAATGCTTTGGGATCCATTTGACCAGGAGGCCTTCCGATACCTAACAAGGAATTCATCATATTTCTAGCACTGCAAAAGATATCATAACAGCAACAAAAATACAAAAATGTGAACATTCAAACTAACCGATTCTTAGCCGAGGAAATTCTCTGTTCCCACGAAAGTGATACATTACACTCTTCACCCTGAATAATTAATAGCTTCAAAAGATAGGTAATGATATTCCACATATGCTCCTTAAGTTTGAAACAAGGGGCGGGGGAAGCAAAATTGAAAGGCCTTTCAAGAGAGGACAAAATTAAACACTATTCAGTACTACTCACTACTCAGAGGATTGGAATTTGGCAAGAAGAACTCAAGCAACACCACAATAGCCATGGTCCTTACTCTTATGAGACGAAATAGTGATGGTCTTACTAGGTCACAAGAGCCATTCTAATGTATATATCCTATATAATTACCTCCTCGTGATAAAGCATGCCACTAATCAGCTACTCAATTAACTGTTGTAAACACCTGGGTTTAAGTAGGTTCTAACAGTTTGACAAAACATTTCCAACATTACTTAACCATTTTGAACTTTAGAAGTATATCTGCTTAAATATCACAGTAGAATATTTTGATCATACCCATTGTGGCATCCATGACCTCCATTTGGGTGAAGACGAAGTACCCCACATGGTAAGTTCATGTCATCGTGGAACTACAAACAAGAATAAATAAACAAATACAATAAAGATATTTTTTTTTTAAAACACAGATGCTATCAAGTAATAAAAACTTAAAAATGGGAGAATGGAAGTACCACTAGCACACGATTGAGAGGTAGCTTATAATAAGCAGCAAGTGGTCCTGTCTGCAGATCAGTTGAATAAAGAGAACACACTGTTATATTCTTTCTCTAACATAATCAGTAGTATCAATAGCTCTAACATACAAAACTGAATCAGTTAAACATCAGAAAGAAATATAAATTTATAAGTGTGCTAGAAGGAATGGAATGGAATACAGAGTACAAATATCACATCTGTTTTCATAGAAGATTAACTCCCATTCCCAGTTATACAGAAGTAATAAACATAAAAAGAAAATACTAGATTAAGGAATAACCTTTTTTGAAAACAAAATTCCATCAGATGTTAACAGGAAATATATCAGTCACTTACAGATTCACCACTCAAATTCATGTAAGTTTGAGGCTTTGCGAGAAAAACGGGAACTTCACCCACGAAACCTGGCATACCAAAGTTCCATGAACTTCACAAACAAAAATAACAACCAAAGAAAAGTATGCAAATATTTACATGCCTTGCCCAAAGATAGCTTTGCAATGCACCGTGCTCATTTCAATTCCCTGAGAATTAGCAAAAACATCAATCATCTCAAACCCCACCTGCTTCAAACCAAAAGAAAAGGAGATAATTTGAAACTTGTTCATAAAACAAAAAAGAAGAAGAACAAAACAAGAAAGTTCAAAGTGTGGTCTCTAAATGAATGGTATGGTATAGTACATTGTGCCTAGTTCCTTTGTACTTATCGCCGGGATTGCCCAAACCCACAAATAGCCACGGGTATGGAGCAGCAGTGCAAAAGTAACGCCTACCCAACCTATTAAGCATCTTCCTCCTTGTCCTCCTCGGTGCGTCGGACTAGGCCTCACAGTACCATAATTCACCGACAAGTGAACTCCAAAGTCTGCAGCGCACCTGCCATTCACAACTTTTTACAAACAACTAGAGTGCATTCAAAATGTATATAGTGTGTGCGGTCTTAAACTGTCTCCAACGGAGAAATGTGCAATACAATTTGCAATGCACTGAAATGGTATGTCAAAAAATTGAATGAGGACCCAAAAGAAGCAAAGCCAAACCCAAGAGCCCTATCACAGAATCCAAAAGAAATAATCGATTTTTCTCAAAAGAAAATGTTGTTTACTGGAATTCCATACTTGCCAAATTTGAGCTTGTTACCTCAAATAACCAGTAAGTGAGTGAAAGAGAAGGCGCCAGCTACGGCTTTGGAAACTTTGGGTGCTCCAACGAGCAACCACGATGGCGCTGGTTATTTTTGAGAGGCTACAAAAGACACGGTTGCTGAAGGCCTAAACGCAGTCGTCTTGTTCCCCCTGCCCACTAGCCTACGGCACTTGCATGTACTTCAGACGGCGAGCTCCGGCAGTTTCATTGCAGCTGCTCCTTCCTCTGGTGTTGGCCGTAAGAAAGAATATCGGGACGATCAGACTTAACCCATTACCCAAACAGCCGTGGACACTCTGACCATGAGAGGAATGAATTGGGAAATGAGTATTGGCCCGACTACCTTGCGGGTCAAAATGACCCATGCCCCAAACATCGAGGACTCATTGGGTCCGGTCCATTTGATAGGTCTATATGAAATTTTTCTACTATTACTTGGCCACAGATAGATGTGGGCAAAAACCCGGTCAAACCAAACCAATATAACCAATTTAATTTGTTTTAACACTAAAAAAAGTGTAATTTTGGACCGAATTGAATCAAATCGGGTCATAGTTAGTTTAGTTTGATTTGGTTTGGCCTATATGAAAACCATCTTAAGCAAGCCGAATTGTCTATGTTAATTCTATTATTTCGTGGCATTTTACATCTTTTTATTCGTTATCACATTATTATGTTTCATTTAACACATAGATAGATATCAAGCTTTAATATAATTAGATTGTTACTTTGTTGTTTATATGGAATTTTAAATGTTATATATTTAGACATTAGACTAGTGAATTCAAAGTTGCATTTTTATGTGCTTAACATTGTTAAGATTGTTTAGGTCGATGATTTTGACTTCATAAGATTATAAGATATGAAAATTATTTGATGCGTTTGTTTAAACTTTCAAGTATATATAAAATTTATTGTGTTTGGTTCACATGATTATTAGATTTGAAATTTGTGTAAATGGATCTTATGGAAAATGAAAATGGTTTTGACTTGTAGACCAATAACTTCAAGTTTGAACCTCTATGACACATTGATAGTGTGTGTGAGAAACCATTATCACCTTAATAACTTTGGCAAAAAAATAAAAATAAATAAAGACCTAAACTGTAAAACTTCTCAAACCAATTTGTCCAACCGTGGTTGGGTTGGTTTTCTATTGATTTGAGCTCAAAACTGAACTAAACCACACCACTTAATCATTAATTAGTTTGATTGTGGTTTGAGAGTGGAATCAATCCAAACTCAACCACAACCACCCATAATTATAAATCTATTTTCAATTTACGATACATTCAATTATGTTTAAATCTTTAATAGTGCTTTTGGATAAGTACAAAGGAATTCATAAATGATGAAATCTAAAATAACGGAAATTAATGTTCTAGAATCTGTAAAGTTTCTTGTTTGGGTAAGGTAACAAATTTAAATATAGAATTTAACTTTTATTTGTAAAGTTATATTTTTTTTAAAACTCAATATCTTTTGTAATTTTAGAAATGAATACTTTTTAGATAGAATTTAAAGTTGAGATTTATGACCACTAAATTATGTGTTTTTTCCCAAGTGGAATTTCTAAATTTTTATGTTTTTTTTATTTATCCAAATACGGAAATTGGTTCATATCAATTTAGAAAATCTAATTTTTGTCAAAATTCAAAGTTTATTTCCCTTATCCAAACCCACCGTGAGGGAAAAATTAAAATGACATACAAATAAAAAGGGAAAATTTAGAAAATGGCATGTCTTCCAAAGTAACCAAATAAATAGAAGCAAATGTCTAGAATAATAATAATAATTTAAAAGGAAAGAAAGAATTAAAAATTAACATTAGGAGCTTTGTGCTTTGTGTAAGGCCCCGTTTGGGATTGCTTTTTTTCGCCAAAAACCTGCTTCACTTTAAAGTTAAGCAGTTTTAGGTGTTTGGTAAAAATAAAATATCTCGATTATTTTAAAAGCAGTGGTCTTTTGACAGCAGCTTTTAAAAGCAGGCTATGAGTTGCTTTTCAAAGCTGCTTTCAAAAGAAGCAGAGATGAACCTTTAATGAATTTTTTTAATTCCCAAAATACCA